TGGGGGCGCGGGCGGGTGGCTGAGCCGTCCTTCCCTCAACAGCCTGGGTGCGACTGCCTGCGGAAGTAATGATTTTACTTGCAAGTTTTTAATTTCCTCTTTAATTTTTTTTTTTTCTTCTTTTTTTTTGGGCAGCGTTTCAGAGTGAAACCTTGCCGAGAGAGCAAGGAGTGCAAGCAACAAAGGGATGGTGAGATATTTCCCTTCTTTTTCATGTCTCTCATCCTTAGAGAGAAGGATGTGAATACTATGAGTACCTAAATAATACAGTTGCCTGTAAATAAAAGACATTTTCTTTTTAGGAGTGGTCCGTTACCCGAAGAGATACCAAAGGGCAGCTTATTTTGCACGTTGTAATGGTCAGGGAAGAGTCATGAAAATAGGGAGCTGGTTGCGTCTGGCAGACATCTGCTGCCTGCTTTAAAGAAACTTAAACGGAGGTGAGAGTCCTTGCTTCTCCGAGAACCTTCCCTGGAGGTGACATGGTGGCGGGGGCACATCCAGCTTCTCGCTGCCCCGCTGCCTGCCCTGCGCCCTGCCCGACGCCGTGAGCCCACGCCAAGGCACGGGCGGCTGCCGTGTTCTTCACGCCTGGGCAGTCCCCGTCTCCGCTGTTGATCCAGCCGGGCGCTGGCTCTGCTTTGGACCTGAGTGTTGCCACAGACCGAGCTCATCATCTCGTTTCACATCAAATGGCCAATTTGGGGCCGTACCTAAAGTTTCCTTGTGATTCTCGCATTCTTGGTGCTTTTTTTTCTGTATTTTTCAGCCGCATTTCTTTAAGAAAACGTTGAATTCTAGTTCTTGGGACTGTGGGGGAATGCTTTTGGTAGTCAGGTTTCCCTCTTTTGGTGAAATTGTTTTCTCTGTAAAAAGAAAAAGCTGTAAGAGAACCTTGACCATTCAAGGCGTCGCTGTGAATGAACTATGGGAATGAATACTCAAAGCGAGCACAGATGTTACCGGTGCTACGCGTCCGGCAGGGTCCCCGCTGCCACCTGCCTTTCCTTCCGCAATGGCGACGGTAGAAGCTGAGCCGAAAAAAGCTCAAAAAAACCAGGCTGAAGTTCTAGCCGGGGTGGTCGTAACCGGGGGGTGAAGAAAACGGTTCTTCACTGGGACCACTGGGGTAGCGTTGAGGGTTGGGGGTGTCAGGGTGCTGGAGCGACAGGGAGTGTGCAGAGCTGTGCAGAGGCTGCTGCCGGGAGACAGGCAGGGATGATCGTGGGAATATGAAAGGCCTGGATGATATACTGATGATTATGGGAATATGAAAGGAATATGGGAATATGAAAGGCCTGGCCCCATCCTCCTGACACCCACCCTGCAGATATTTATAAGCATTTGGGGACCTAATAAATGCTTATAAATATCTCAAGGGTGGGTGTCAGGAGCACGGGGCCAGACTCTTTCCAGTGGTGCCCAGCAACAGGACAAGGGGCAACGGGCACAAACTGAAGCAGAGGAAGTTCCAGCTGAACATGAGGAAGAACTTCTTCCCTCTGAGGGTGACGGAGCCCTGG